CCTCCAGAGCCGACTCATAGGGCCCCTCGCTGCCGGAGTCTGGTGGCAGCTCCAACGGCTCCTGCTGGGCCACAACACCTACTGCTTCTGTTTCATAGGCCTAGCTGAGAAGTGTTTTCATCTCTCGTATAAGACTATGCCATGAAAACCCAGTTCCCACGGTGTTCTTCAAACAATTGCATAGTTCAAAATAGAATAAAGATTGACAAGCAACCCTGATACTGTATTATATTAATTTCAAATAAAAAAGCCAGTTCAAATCTTAAATTGTATGTGCTCTCTTTAGTATCACCATCACTCCTTCCTTAGACTATATAGGAATAATAGGACATACAGTTAATCTCAATTTATAACAGGTCTGTTTGAAGTTAATTTAACGGTTCTTTGAAGTTACTTACAACCTGCGGTCACATGTCAGAGATTGATGGTTATTTTGCTGGAAGCTGAAGTTTCTGGCAATAAATGCCCATTGTAGGCAATGGATTTGCTTACAATCATTGCTTTCACTTAACAATCACCACAAAAAAAGTCATAAAATTAGGCATGATCACATGATGACAATGCACTTAATAACCAGCACAATTTATGACTGTAATTCTGGCTCAATGATGGTTGTAAGTTGAGGACTACCTAAAACAAGTAAAGTCAGAGAAGAAAAAGAGAAGACATTTAACTTTTAGGTGAATGTTACATATAAACAGTTTATACGTTGTAACCTCTTTGGTGAAATGCTCCATATTATTATTCACAGTGTCTCAAAGAATTTTATTGCAAAGTGATAAGTCTGAAGAATAGACACATTTAACAGAATGTAATTCACTTTTAATATGTAGCTGTTAAAGTAGCATACTTTAAGAATTTGATATTTATTTCTCATCATGAAGATGCATAATCATCTGATTTGAAAGTTATTCATTTATTCAAAGTATTTAATGCAATTGCATAGATTTGGCATATCTATATGTGGCATATACATCAGGAATGCTTTATTTATAATAATTATTTTAATATTCAATAGAAGTATGGATATTATTTTATATGAATGATAATTGTAATTATTGTGAGCCACAATCTTTATTTGATCAATTTCTATGTCACTCAGTCATGAATCTTGATATGTCACATAACAAACACACAGCTATTCTTGAAAAGAATAACTTCTTTTATGGGCAGTGAAAGAACTACAGAATAAAAAAATCATGGATTTTTTTCCCCTGACTTTCCAATACAACAGTTGCAGAGTGTTGATCTGTCAAGAGGTTGGCAATGTGTGACAATAGTAATGATGATGTGGTAAGGCTAGACACAAGGGCTAAGACCTTTTGTTTCTAAAAAGCCTAACAAAAACAGCATCTGTCAAGGGTAATGAGGGGTGTAAACAGGACTTGACTGAGTAGAATATGCATTTGCCGAAAAGGACATTAATCCAAGCACAACTGTCTTCACTATTGCAATTTTTACTGACAGACTTAATTTTATATTATAACACCATCTCACATATAATCTGTTCTGGCAATTTTTTTCAAATTATAGGATTACTGGTGAAGAACATGTCAGGTAGCAAAATCCTTACCGTCTTATTACCGCCCAATGCAGATTATTCAAGACAATTGATTTTTCAATAGCTATCAGTTATAATAGCTAAGATTGGAATAAACGTATGCAAAGCGATATGCCTCCAAGTATCGGATTGATGTTATAAAAGAATAAATGAAGGGAAAAGGCAGGGGGGGGGAAGGTGATCACTGATGATTATTATACTTTGGGACTGACAAATGAAAATGCTGGCCTAGCAACACAGTGTCATCTGGCAAGGTGTTATTTATTCTTTTATTTTATCAATTTGATCAATGGCTAAAATGACTAGAATTATATCAAATTGTATCATCCTAGCAGGAAAGCAGACACCATGGGCACATTATAGCAATGGCAGTTAGACTTATATACCGCTTCATAGGGCTTTCAGCCCTCTCTAAGCGGTTTACA